CACTTGCGGCTTCTTCCGTTTCTGGACTTTATGGCCGTACGTAATTATGACTTAGTATAAATATTCCATATGCCTGTATGTAACTTCAGTTTGATTATTAATGTTCTTGACTACTCGTCTTGTCCTGAACCCTTCCTTGACTTCCGTCCTCCGGAGTTCCGACTTTCATCGGAACGACTTCTACTCTCGCCAGTCCAGGTAGTACGCACACCCTTACTTCACTGTGGTGTTTGCTATTGATCCGTAACTTCCGCTCCGCCATCCGATCTCCGGCACCAGAACCTTCCGATCAGCGGATCATTCCTCCGACTTCAACTTCGGGATTTAACAGCATTGCAGATAAGGTAGATCTTCAGACGTAGCTGGGCTCAGCTGCCAACACAACCAGAATAGAGAGAAGGTTGCTGGGGGCAAGGACAAGAGTAAGCTCAATCACAATGTCTGAGACGCTTGTAAGATGAGAAAGCTTGCCTGAGAATGATCATGATTCCAGAACTGAACATCGTGATGTGGGATCAATGAATCCAGGAGATCCTAAATATCATGGGGCTGATGAATTTTAACCATCATCCTTTAAGTAATAATTCATTACCATATTTAGAAAGTTTGGTTGTGGCTAACATATTTGGACATGACATTTGATTGAAATTTACGGAGGTGGAAAATTTGAGATTTACCGGCTTGGCAAATATCAGGTGATTCACTGGTGGAAGATTTCGAGTTTTTGAGTGAAAAAAATGGTGAAAACTAGTTTGGGTTTTACATAAGTTTTTCGCCAAAAATGTAGGTGAAAAACTCAAGAGTTTTTCAGCAGTTTTCCTTTTTATTTCGAAAATTTCACCTAAAGTTGGAAAACTTTTGAAAATGATTCAAGTTTTTTTCCACCAGTGATTGCCAAGAAAATTTAAAAATTTCCGACAATTTTCCACTGTCACTGGTTGAAGATTTCAAGTTTTTGGGTGAAAAAATTGGTGAAAAATGTTTTGAGTTTTACAGGGGTTTTTCGCCAAAAATGTAGGTAAAAAAGTTGAATCATTTTCAAAAGTTTCTCAACTTTAGGTGAAAATTTCAAAATAAAAAGGAAAACTGCTGAAAAACTCTTGAGTTTTTCACCTATATTTTTGGCGAAAAACTTGTGTAAAAATTCAAAACATTTTTCACCAGTTTTTTCAGTCAAATTTGAAAGCTTCAGCCAGTGTGTGGTAAATCTTGGGCAAATCACAAGAATGTATGAAATATTCTTGAGATTTATTGGTCTGGTAAATAACCAGTAATTACTCGGATTGTATAAAATTACCTTAAGATTATCCCATAATTTGCTGGCCCCGTAAATTGAATGTTGGCCCCAGTGGGCTTTGAAGAGGTCACGCTAGAGCATCGGGGTCCCCTTCCAGCCAATCTTCTATCCTTCAACGCCATTCATGTCAAGAATGAGGACTTTGACAACCTCTTCCAATTCAAGCCTGAGCCTGAGGTAAGCCGTTTCTTTATCTATGCCTCAGCTTTTCTGACCCTACTTTCAGGAGAACGTGGCTTCGTCTTCTGGCCCTAACTCGCAGAGCCAGCCAACCCGGGAGCCTTCGCCAATTTTTGTCGCCTCACGCAGCCCTACTCCTCGCACCAAGAAGCCGAAGAAGGTGCTTGTCAAACAGGTAAGCTCTCCGTGTTTTTCTTATTCATTTGCTCCTTATTCTGAACCTCCTCTTCCATTCTTAGGAGGAGGGCGCCGGGCCTTCTTCTCGTTGCGCGCCCGCCCCTTCCAAGGGCAAGAGCAAGGGTAAGGGCAAGAGCATGCTGCACAAGCCTTCCCCCACTGCCTCCGAGTAGGCCCCGGGTCGGCAAGGGTTGGCACCAGCATTTCTTGGATGTCTTTTTATATACATTTTGTGGTCATTACCCTCTCTCCGCTTGCTTCGCGGTGTGTGGTCCTCGGGCGGCGCACCCTGGTGTGCTGTGTCTTCCCCTACTGAGGACTCAAATATCATTAGCTTTCTCGGGTTACTACTTTTCCGCTTCCTGTTTTTTAAGCGAGAGATTTGACTGACAGGCCTTCCCGAGGCCTCGTGCCAAACAATTGTCATGACTAAGGCTTAATTTCTAGCAACTTGCGCCAATCAACATCTTTCCGGCTATTAGGCGTCAGCTATCTTTCTTTGTTGAAGTAACTGGTGACGTTACTTCCAATCACATCAGAAATTCTTGTCTATGTTATTTAAGGCCAAGGCGAGACCTGGCGCCAGACCTGTGCCATGTCTTTTCTAATGCACCCTCCACTTCCGCTTGACCGATTTGAAAACCCCATTGTCAGCGCCTCATACATTGATATGGCTGGTTTTGAACCATGTAATCACGCTTTTTCACAATTCTTAGCACTATTCTAAGAACCCCTGTTCGGTGGTATACAATTAGAGCTGGAGTGAGCTCCGAACTGCCGACTGTGTATTAATGATGCTAGAGGAGTCAGCACGCACTGAGGAGACATAGAAGCGCGGTCCTTATAAACATAGGGGATCTGCTTCATGATCCTAGAAGTGTTCGCGAACTCCGTCAGATAGAGTTGTTTCTTGTGATCCGGGAAGCAGCTTGCCCTGCAGGCTAGATACCATACCCAGGAGATATAACAAAAGCCTTGACACCCTTTGTGGATTGTACTGCACCAGACAAGGGCAGGGAACAGTTCGCGAACACCACTTCCATGCAGGAGGGCTGCAGAACGAGTTCGCGAACAAACATTAATATTCGTGAACCTCACTTTCATCAGACTTATGACTGAAAGGGCAAAGGAACAAGTTCGCAAACCAGGTTAAATGTTCGCAAACCTCTGACTATTGGTGCCTGGCCAGAGTTGGTTCAAGCAGTAGCCAGCCCTGGGTCTAGGGGACCACATGTGATGATTGCAACGCAGTCGTGAGGACCAAATACTGCCAAAGCGGAAGCATATTGGTGATCGGAGCATTCTTGAGCCGAAGCCGAAGGGCCTCGTGTTCGCGAACGGCCGAACGGACTATTTACCGCTCTTACGAAAGCAGGGCAGACACATAGCAGTGGATTATCAACCATGCCGATGTGGGATGTGTGTGCCAAGGTGGCAGGCCGGGTCACGAAACCCTTCGGCCCGTGCTGAAACAATTCAAATATACCTGAAACGGTTCGCGAAGTCATTTCTGATGACTGTCCGATGCCGGGCACCTATCCCACCACCACTAGAAGGCCGCATCACTATTCCTATTCCGTTCCGAAGCTCTCAGTTTACTCATTTTCTCTTATTCTTTCTCATTCATAGCCATCTGTCATGTATTTATCGAAAACATATAAAAGACCACGTAGAACCCGCCTTACGGAAGCTCACCCTCGGTGTTTCTAGATGGATTTCTAGTTCATCCTTGCCCCCTTGGTTGCGCTTAGACGGAAGTCGAAGCCACCTGTCAACGGCGTTGGTGTCCTCTGTATCTGTGCGGAGATTTGTGATATAGAACATTTCTCTTGTGTAGATTCATTAATACAGAAGCTTTGATTTTGTTGGCTCCATAAGCTTTAAAGGATCATCTAAGCCAATCACTTCACCTTGTCTCGTGGAGGGTCACGGCAAGTTCGCTGAAAGTCCTCTGTTAAGTTGCACAAGGCAGGCTAGTGTTCTATTGGAATCGTCCACGCATAGTAGGCCGGTCATAGTTCGTTAGTTGGGCTATTGGAATCGTTCCTGCCTTAGTAGAACAGTCATAGTCGTGTCTGCTATTGGAATCAGTCACGTTTAGTAAACTGGTCGTAGCTGTGCACAGTTCGTGAACCTACTGTGGTTCCCAGAGCAAGCTTTCATCTACCTAAACTCCGATACCTTGTGTCAGAGCTGTGCACTTTTTGTGGTTTTCAAGCTACTGTAGGCTCCTAGAGGTTCTATTCAATCCTTCTTTGAGTTGATCCTGTCCCACGAAGTTCCATCTTACCTGTATACTGCAGGGTGACCCGAACTCAATTATCTTGCACTTTGTACTGGTTGTGTGTTGTATGTGTAGTGTGTGTTAGTGATTTAGTGTGGTGCTGTTCATTGGCATCTATCTGAGGACCTTACTGCATTTCAGCCTATACTTAGGTGCACCGTTTCAACGGTCCTTATCACAGCGCGAGACTTGAAAGAGAAGCTGCAAAGAAGGTGGACAGTCAAATCTGGTGTATTGGTTGGCACAAGTTCACTCTAGACAAGTGGGGGAAAACTTGTACCAAAATCTGGCTATCCTACAGTGCTAAAACTACGTCCCTTTTATACCCTCTGGCTGCACAGCCCCAGTTCCATAGGAATCGGGTTGAGTGAGGTCCCCCGGAGGAGCTGGACGCTTGAAATAGGTGTAGGATGAAGTGTATGTCCAAATTTAGGTTGAAAAAGTTGATGCCCCGAGTGCTGCAAGTGCGTCCCCAAGTGTGGCAAGGGTGTCCCCAAGTGCAGCTCGGGTCAACAATTGAAGAGAGCGCTCGAATATGCAATGCAAGGTCCAAAAATGGGCTGAATGCCCGTGGGGACTGCACGAGGTGTCAAATTTTGGGGTGAATATCGATCGTATCCTGGATTCTGGGTGGTTTTACAGTTGTGCCCTGGATACAGGCCCAGGCTGTGGTGATATCCCATAGGAACGAGGGTGGAGGCCACGAGTCGTGGCATGTGAGGGCGAGAGCATGGGCGCGGATGGGTGCTGAAGATGAGAGCGTGGGCGGATGAGTTCTGCTGCATAGGACTATTCCACGCACCAGCCTGACACTCATTATCAGAAATTCATGTTCTGCCCAAAAACCGTTCCCGCAAGAATGCGGGAACAGAATTACCTAAACAATTCACCTCAAAAAATTCCTGTCCCATCACACAGAAACACCTCACCTCAAAGAATCCCCAAAAAACTGTTCCCGCAACTTTGCAACAACAAAAACTTCCTAACCTGCCATTTATCCTCCTCCCTCCGCCCCCAAGGAAACCAGAAAAAAAATTGACAAAAAAGGTGGAATCAACCACAAGCCCAGACCCCAAGTCGAACAGGGGATCATTGGTTAAAGTTCAAGAAGGCTGTTGAATGCCCGCCGACCGTGTTACCGCTACACCACCCAGGCTTTGTTCCCTCCCAGCACGTTACGCACCTTACGCAAGCACAGCCAGTCACTCAACATTGTCAGCTTCATCTGCTTCCCCATATTTCACCTAAAATCTAGCTGATGAGATAGGTGAACATATCAGCCAACCCAAAGTAGTAAAGATTCCAGCAGTCTGCAAGCACTGTGCTGGAAGAGCCTACAACTTCATTTGCACATATCTAAAATTCTTGCGAAAAATTCTTGTGCACCCCATCCGGCCTTCATCGTGGAAATCGTGGTTCTAGGCTAGAGATATCTACTACTACTACATTACATATCACTACCCAATGTAACATACGCGAGGCAACCACCATGATATTCCATTTCCCTTCCAAAACAAAGGTCACATGATCTTGTTTGCATGAAACAAACACATACAATTAATTCTTGATTCTGGTCAAAGCACATTCTCGCCGGCAAAAAAATTCCTTTTTTGGCTGTTCCGAATGGCTGCATGCCGGTGGCCTATTTAAGCCAGTTCCAGTGCTCCCTCTCTCTCTTTCCACTCTCATCCTACCACCACAGTGGTAAGTGGTCGGTTCTCAATGACCAGGCAACCATTGAGAATGATTTTTGGTGCAGGGAGCTTAGCAAAACACATGTGAGAACATCTAACACATGAGTACATCATCTCTATTCAACACCATACTCATTACTCCAGTAAACACTTGCACAACGCAAAAAACACACTCGACTTGGTAAGTTGCCTTGTCTTGTGTTCCTTCTGACTCAACCCCTGCAGGCAATGTATCCCTTGCTCCAAGCCGCCCTCACTGCACACCCCTCGGCCTCCGACAAACCCGGGTGCTTCTACCTGTACATCATCAAATGCCACCAACCCAAGGCCCCCAACCGCCGCGCAAGGAGGGCCGCGATGAAGATGGGATGCGCGAAGGACCCCCGAAGCACCGACTGCAGTGGTTGAGGAAATGTCAGGGACAGCGGCAGGAATGGGTCTGTTACTGAGAAGTGCCCTATGCGGCCAAAGTCAGTGCATCTTCTCCTCGTCTGCCCAGCGCGCCTTGCTGACATGCTCAGACACAGTGGACAATCAGGTGTCATTTGCGATTTGGGTTGCCGTGGTCATTGAACTGATGCCCGAACTGTCATTTGTTAAATCCGGGCCACCTTCCCCTTTTAGTCAGATTTCGGACTTTTCTGCGACCAGGACCCAGCCTCATGTTTTAGCGGCTTTTTGTTTTAAGTACGATAAAGAGAATGCTGACCACTTTCTTGATTTGCGCGGATCATTGAAGAAAGAATTCTCGCAATAGTTACTATATTTAGCTTTACAGTGCAAAATGGACTATAAGTGCAAAATGACTTCGCTCCGACTCAATTCTTGTCTGAACACCTTTGGAAGTGGCTCAAATTACACCAACAGCTCCTGTACTCCATAATATAAAAAAATTTGGAGGGAAACGGATGAGAAATGACCGAGATCCCGCGCTGAGCCCGAAAACCCCCTGATCCCACTGCAAAATTCGATGCACTATATTTCTTAGTGAACAGATTTTCTTGGGAATTTGGGGGAGCATTGAAGCAGTCTATCGAAGCATCTAGCAAAAACACCGTAGTCAAAACCGGAGCGGGGCGGCTGAAAAATGTGCACGTCAAACTCAGCGGGACAATTCAAAGTCTGCTCGATGTCCTGGAATGACTTGTAAATCCTGTCCCGCCCCCATTTTGAATCCGGTTATTTTTGCAGGATGCTTTCATGAATTGCTTTAATGTTCCCTCAAACTCCCAAGAAAATCTGTTCACTAAGAAATATAGTGCATCGAATTTTGCAGTGGGATCAGTGGGTTTTCGGGCTCAGTGCGGGATCTCGGTCATTTCTCATCTGTTTCCCTCCATATTTTTTTATATTATGGGGTACAAGAGCTGTTGGTGTAATTTGAGCCACTTCCAAAGGTGTTCAGACAAGAATTGAGTCGGAGCGAAGTCATTTTGCACTTATAGTCCATTTTGCACTGTAAAGCTAAATATAGTAACTATTGCGAGAATTCTTTCTTCAATGATCTGCGCAAATCAAGAAAGTGGTCAGCATTCTCTTTATCGTACTTAAAACAAAAAGCCGCTAAAACATGAGGCTGGGTCCTGGTCGCAGAAAAGTCCGAAATCTGACTAAAAGGGGAAGGTGGCCCGGATTTAACAAATGGCAGTTCGGGCATCAGTTCAATGACCACGGCAACCCAAATCGCAAATGACACCTGATTGTCCGCCGTGAGAGCGATTGATCCACACCCACTATAAACTTGTGGGTGCCTGGCTCGGGCGGTCCACATGCGACTTTTGCACCACCTGCCATCAGGAGAAATACAATTTGGGCAAGTGTGGGGGGCGGAGCACAGTCATTGGGGTGGTGGAGAGCTATCTGGGCTACATGGGGTTGCTGATAATCAGGTACGTCTCGTTTTAGTTGGCCGCTTATCGCATACTGACCAGGGTTAGGACTGACATGGACGATGACTGAATAGATACTTCCAAATGTACAGGTGTGGTTACACAGAGATTTGACACGTGCAAATAAGAAGGGTTAGTAGGTCAAATGAAAATAGATGTTGAGCGCAAACTGACTAGATAGTCGCAGCAAGTTAGTCCACGTGTATACAGAGATTATAACTGACCATATAATGACTAGTGAGTATTGTGACAAGAGCACAAAGCTCAAAACGTTGCTGGAATATCACAAATATAAGTCAATGTTGGAATATGTGTTTGGACTATGACATTCTCGTATAGTTACTGCTCACCTGACTGATCAGTCATGCTGACTGATATGCTTATTGATTTAATTATCATGCTTACTGATCCACTTACTCATGCTTACTCATGCTTAGTGATCACCTTACTCATGATTACTTATCTACCTATCTACTGTATATATAAGTAGCCTAGCTTAGACTGGAGTCCTCAGTTTCTCACTGTTGACTTCAGTCAGACCACTGTGCTTGCCTGTTCTAACAGTCAAATGCAGTCAAATGGAAGTGAACTAAAATTAGAATCTTACCATGTAGCTGCCACAAATCAAGCTGTGAACACTCTTGAATAGAGTCCGGAGTGGTAATTGAAGGGTAGTTCAAGTCAAAACTGAGCCCTGGAACTGAGCAAAGGTCAGTGAAATCAAGTATGACGATGGCCGGAATGGCCAAGGACTCACAATTAACAGATCAGCGGGCACGCAAGTCAATCCTAGAGTCTTAGATCCCCATGCTGACGGCCAGGGGAGTCTGTGGGACCTCTATATGTACAAATGAGATAAGATGCAATGAGAGAATAGTGTTATATCTGTACGTCTCGACCTTCTGGCATCCTCCGATACCTCCGAGAATTTCCAATCAAAACGGAATGTTCCAGCAAATTCCAGAGGCCGTCAAAACCGGGTTTTTACGCAATGAAGGATTACTGAGTGTTTCCCGTTTTTCCCTTGTTCTAATTTTTACTTACTTCTCGAGCAGACTTCACCGCTCCGCAACTTTGACTTGTGGCTTCGTCCGTTTATGATTACTTAAGTAGGAAATGGACTTTACGGCCATACGTAATTATGACTTCGTATAAATACTCTGTATGCTTGCATGTATGTAACTTCAGTTTGATTATTAATGTTCTTGACTACTCGTCTTGTCCTGAACTCTTCCTTAACTTCCGTCCTCCAGAGTTCCGACTTTCATCAGAACGACTTCTACTCTCGCCAGTCCAGGTAGTACGCACACCCTTACCTTCCTGTGGTGTTTGCGATTGATCCATAACTTCTGCTCTGCCATCCGATCTCCGGCACCTGAACCTTCCGATCAGCAGATCATTCCTCTGACTTCGACTTCGGGATTTAACAAATAGATAAGTAACACACTATATTGGAGTTCCAGCAAATCCCGATCCGAGTTGAGATCATCTCGCCCTTGTATCTAGTAAAATATGTAAGAGAAGAGAGACAATGAGTTGATACAGAAATAACAGAAGATAATATAAAGGAAAGCAGGTAAACAGCATAGTTTCACCATATAGAACCTTACTAGACCTTACCACACCAAATCTGGAGAGCATGCAGGTACAGAACATCATATAGAGTGATCTGGAGGGATAAGTGTTAGTGGGGTAAATTAGATCAAGGAACAAAAAAAACATACCAAAAATATAAACAATAACACCACATATAGGCAGACTGCAAAGATAATCAAGTGGCACAAGAGTGGCGGGTCAAATAGACTCACCATGGTGAAGAATAAAAGAAGGGGCCAGCTAGATGTCAGCTCAAATGAGCCAGTATCCTGGACCAAAATGTGAAGAGGAGGGAGGGAAGGAGGACAATGCAACCCAAAAGTGGGCAGAAGGAAGGTCAGAAAGGTATGGGATTATATAGTCCAAGAGAGCCTAATGGAGTAGAGATAGTTGCCAGGGTCCATGTCTATGGACTTCTGATGACCTGGTGTCTACCAGCAGACCCATGGAAGCTGCATGTAAAACACCTGTAAAACATTACATACCTGCGTATCCGCATGCTGCACATTCATAAGCCAGGGAAACTGTGAGAAGTGTTTCAGCTGTTGATTCCATCAATTCCAGATGTCTGTAATGCCTGTGCACCACATCTTCTCCCCACCATAGCTGGAACAGTGGAATAATGTGTAGCACAGTTTTTGGGACTTTGCAGGAGAGCATGGGGGCATAAATGAAGTGTTGAGGGAGTGAGATAACAGTAGGAGTAATTTTGGTTCGGTTGATTTGCTGTATGTCATCAGGGTACACAGGAACAAGTGAGATAGATGAAAACTCACTGCAATTCCATGTGGGCTCCAGCCTGCTCATATCACACCAAGGAGGACTAAAACAGCACAGCATAATCACATCATTTAAGGCACTCATGATAGTGAATGATTTGCACACTATCCAGCAGACACTATCACACCAGCACATCATGGTGACAAGTGCTTTGAGCTACCAGTGGCTGGAGAATCAGCTGACTCCACATCCACATT